CTCAGGCAATCCACTCGCCTCGGCCTCCCAAAGCACTGGGATTACAGGCTGAGCCACCGAGCCTGGCCGAAGCAATGTCTTAATACAAGGGACTGTTTCCTTTGTGACCCCTTTCCCACCAGGCTAAAATCACTCACTCTGTTTGGGGAGCCCTTCTCCAAAGATGGCCTGATTCTCCTAGGCTCCCGTGTGTACTCCATTCCCCCAGCCTAGGCAAGGGTTGTCACGTGGGGAGGAGGAGAATGCTAAGCCCCAACTGCAGTGGAGACGGAGAGGTGGGGCTCCTGTGACCTACCATGGGAATGTTTTAAAATCCTCCTCCCATTAAGCTTTTGAAAAACTGATGATTCAATAAAGCAGCAACTGTGTCTACTCCATTAGCAAGTGAGGTAAAAGCAGCCTCCTCAGCCTCCAGACTCTTTTAGCTGGAAATCCCCACCAGCCCTAGCAGTGGGGTCTGGGGGCGATCTGAGCTAACAGAGTCCAGGCCTGCCCAAGCAGAGCTGGAAGCCAGGGATGCATGGAGTACAATGTAGGTGAGTCGGGTTCCTGGGAAGGGGGTGACCTGGCAATACAGCCTGAGTTGGGAAACAACTCCCAGGAGAGACGCAGGCAGAGAGTATAGATGCAGTTCTGGCTTCTCTCACAAATGTAACTCCCAGAAGGAGTAGTCTAGGGTATCTGCTTCGCTTTGGTCCCCACACTGGAATTTGGTGGGGACTTATGCCAAGGGCAGAACCAGAAGTGGGCCACGGGGCACATGGCCAGTGCAGGGAATTGAGTCTTGGAATGCTGAAGTCTCAGGGTATGGCTGCAATGGGTCAGTGGTTGAAGGCCCTTCCCGTGAGTGGCTTAGCTCGCCTGGTCAGTGCACAGCCCAGCCCTGTGCTGGAGGCCAAGATCAGCAGCTCAGGGCCACATAAGACTTTAGCTGGTCTCTACTTTACCTCTGGTCCTGCTCAGCATTGTCACAGATGCACATAGCTGACCCCTAGAGGGGTGATTGGATAGAAAGAGGATGATAAAGTCAATCCACTATCACCTCTAATGGAGAACTCGAATTCTGACTACAGGCCTGAAGCCAGGCTGCAGCATGATGCTTTCATCCAATTTTAAAGACTGTCTGCTTCTTCTGACTATGGTTCCTAGATTTTATGCTACCCTCATTTTGCAGGCTGGATGTAGAAAGGTTAAACAATTTACCCAGCTTCTCACAGCTGCAGACCATACCTGCTTGGTGCCTTCTAAGATCCTGTTGTGGAAGTCCTTCTCAGTCCCTCCTGTGGGGCTGTCCTTGGCATGCTGGGGCTGGGGACAGGGCTGGGTGCCCTGCATGGGAGACTGTGGGCAGGTGGAGGGTGACTCAAAATGTCCCTCAGTCTCTGGCCTGGTGGGTGGGCAGGGAGTGGCATGAGACAGATGGAGAAGAAGGAGGAGTTAGACAGGCCTTGGACGTGGCCCTCTCGACCTAGGCAATGTACAGCCACTGAGGAGCAGAGGCAAGCTGGCTGTGGTTCCCTGGACATGCATGGCATTTACTCATCCAATAATGATATCAAGTCATTACAGTATAGATCAGAGAAAAGGCAGAGGGGGTCACAGCATTTCTCGTTCTTGTGGGAATTATTGCATTCATTGTAGAGCAAATCCTATAAGCCCTGACTCTCATGGTCATTTCAAGCTGTAGTTTTATACATCCATCAATGCTCCAGGGTCTACGCTGACTTCTTATAGTTTAAGTCGTCTCAGACCACAGAGTCAAAGGTCACAGGAAGTTCAGCAATAGCCATAAACAATCCCATGCCGTTGCTGGCAGCTTTCTTCACAGTATGAAAGGGGGAGCCTCTCCAGGGGACTAGCCATGTTTTGGTGGTCTTTTCTCTGCCTGTTCTTTGTCTCTATTTTCATCCAATGCCAGTTTACCCTTCAAGAGTCAACTTGAGTATTTTTGTTGTACATAAATCTTTGCCCACCTCTTTGATCATTTCCCTAGTATAAATTTCTAGAGTTGACATTGTTCCCACAGCAGTATATGCGGTCCATATACTCTTAACAAACCATGCATATTATAATTTTCTACAAGATAGTAAGCTTGATAGCAACAAATGATAACTTAATTTGTATCTCTTCAATCTCTAATGAAGCCTTTTGTTTGGTCAGTTATATTTATGATTTTATGATTTTCTTGCTCATCTTTTGCCCTTTATTCTATGGGATATTTGCTTTAAGTATTGTATTAGTAGAACTCCCTTTATGTAAAGGTATTAGCTCCTTGTTTTTTCATACCTGTTGCAAGTGTTTTTATTTATTTATTTTTTTGAGTTGGAGTCTCACTCTGTCACCCAGACTGGGGTATAGTGGCACGCTCACAGCCACCCCTGTGTTGACCTACTAGGCTCAGGCTATCCTTCCGCCTCAGCCTTCCAAGTAGCCAGAACTACAGGTGCGTGCTACCACACTTGGCTAATTTTTTAAAACTTTATTGTAGAGATGAGGTCTTACCAAGTTACCCAGGCTGTTCTCGAACCCGTGGACTCAGGCAATCACCTCACCTCAGCCTCCCAAAGTGCTAGGATTACAGGCTTGAGCCACCGTGCCTGGCCACAAGTATTTTTATAGTTTATTCATACCTTGAAACAGATTTTTTGTCTAAACAGAGATTTTAATTTTTATGCACTCAAGTCTATTAATGCTTTCCTTTATGATTTCTGCCTTTGATGTGGTGCTTAGAAAGCCCTGTCTCACAACAAAATTATGGAAATGTTCATGCATGTGTTCTGCAAATTCTTTTATGGTTTCATTTTTTTGCACAACTCTTTAATCTATCTGGAATTGATTGCCTGTGTCTTTGTAAACTGCTTCAAATTCCCTTTGAAATGGAAGTGATTAATTCATTAACATGGTGAGGAAGAGAAGCTGGTAGAGGAGGAGGGGTTGAAGATATAGGAGTCAGATGGGATAATTAGTGGGTCAAGGTCTAGAAGTGATGGGGTCAAGTGCTATTGGCAGTGGGTACATAGAGGGAGCCATTTTGAATGGAAGGTGGGACATTCAGTCTCTGAGACTAGACCGGGGGGCAGGAGATGGCACAGGTCCATTTTGCCAAGGCAGGAGGCAGGGAGGGAATGGGCTGGAGAGGAAGACTGTGAGCCAAATCCCCAGTGATTGTGGGTGGGGATGGGGACAGTGGGGAGGGACCAGGAAAGATAGTGTCAATGAGGAGGACAAGGGAATGGCAAGAACCAGGTGGCAGGAGGCACTTACCAGTTTACAAGTTTATGATTTGTGGGACTGTAGCTGGCCATCCCACCTTTGGGCCCAATGAGATGTGAAAGATTGCACTCCACTGGAGAGGCGTCCTGTAGGGAGAGCCAGGAGTCGGCTATGGTGATGAGTAGAAGGAACATGCAGAGGAAAGACTGAGGACATGAGGGAGTTTGTATAGCGTAGGCAAGACATTCTAGACTCAGGGTACTATGAAAGATCTGAGAGGGAGGAGACTGTGAGAAGGAAAGCCTGTCCCCAATCAGTGGACAGGAACAACGTCAAGGTCAAGGCCAATTAAATGGAGCCCATTTGTTCAGCACATTGCAATTCATAAGGCACTTTCACATGTGTGCTTCAGATGAGCATCAAAACAGCCTTTCAGAGCAGAGAGGTAAAGAGATTTGCCCAGACGGAGTCAGGATGTGAACCCACGAGTCTTGGTGCCTCGCCTGGGCGCTCGTGTCTCCACAAAGACCCCAGCATCACCTTTCTACGTTCAGGGACAGTAGCTTTGGACAGTGCCTAATGAAATTCTTCTCTCCCTTCTCCCTGCAGAACGGTAGTCCGCATTCCAAGCCTTGCTGACCATGAATGGGATGGCCAATGTGAATTCTGCCAGTCGCCCTCATTATGCCTCCTCCATCCCTGTGCCTCGAGCTTCTTCCCAGACCAGGATTCACACACCTGGTGCTTCTCCCCAGCTGCGGCCCCGCCAGGCTGGCCTGGCTCTGAGCCCCCAGAGAGCGGCCTCCCCAAGACCGGGCAAGTCTGCAGTCCCTTCCAGAAACTCCTCTCCTAGGGCCTCCAGGGGAAGAGGCTCCCCCAAGGCTGCTGGGACAGCGAGGGAAGCAGCTGAGAGTGGTGAAGGCCTTTCCAGCTCCCCATGGAGCAGTCCCAGGATAACCCCCAAAACAGCCCTTGCCAGCCGGGCTGGGTCCAGAAGAGCTGGCGAGACACAAGGCACCCAGGGAAAGAAGAAGAAAGCTCAGGAAGGGATTCCAACCCGGCAGACACGGGGCCGGAGCCCATCTCGGATGAACTTTCATGGAGAAACTCAAATACCAGGGACTCCCGAAGATGGAAAGCCTCCAAGCTGCCTGGGAAAAGATCAAAAAGATGTAAACTACAAAAGTTCTGGGCTCACCAGGTCTTTGGAGCCTGATGAGGGAGCAGCTTCACTGACTTCCTCTCCTGCCTGCAGCCCAGCACAGAGCAAGCGCGCCTCCCCATCCCCAGGGGCCATTAGCTTCTCCTCAGTCCATCAGCAGAGTCAGCCAGTCACAGCCACGGTGGCCCCCTTCCAGTACAGGTGAGCTAGGGGGAGCAGGCAGGGAAGGAAGGAGGGAAGAATGGAGCTGGGACCAAAAGACAAGCCCAAAGAGGAGTAGGGCTCTCGTGATGAGTAGCTGGCAGAGACTAGTGGGGCTCAGAAGATAGAAAAAGAGATTGGAGACCTACAGAGTTGGGGGTTTGGAGAGCTAAGATGGAACTGGGAACTGAAAAGGGGACCCTAATCCAAGCTCTAGTTTTTGTCAACTCTCAGGACTCCACAACAGAAAGAGGCCCCTAAAATGTTCATTTCTACTCTCTCTGGGAAATGATGAAACAATATACATATTAGGATATTGTGGAAGTTTAAGCAGCATGATACATACATAGCATCAGTCTCACCCAATTCAATGGGGGACATTTGCCACCACTGTGAGTTAGGTCAACTCTATTGGCTTGGGCACTGTGCCTTCAGTTCACAGTGAGTAGAATTTTAACTGCTCCTCCTTGTTACTCCATGATACCTTGTGTCTGTTTGCCTCTCACTCACTCCATTTGCTATATTGCCTGATGCAGATCTGGTTATGCACCTGGCATGTCAGGAATCAGTCATGCTTCTTAGACAGACAGGTGTGGCCACCATTGCTGTAGGTGGTGGCCAGGCCAGGAGTCATAACAAGGTGGTTAACAATTCAGTCTCTCCAGATTTTTTTTTTTTTTGAGTTGGAGTCTCACTCTGTCACCCAGACTGGAGTGCAATGACCACTCCCGGCCACTGCAGTCTCGACCTGCTGCACTCCGGCGATCCTTCCGCCTCAGCCTTCCAAGTAGCTGAAACTACAGACACGCGCGACCATGCCCGGCTAATTTTTTTGATTTATTGTAGAGATGAGGTCTCACCAAGTTGCCCAGGCGGGTCTCGAACCCGCGGGCTCAGGCAATCCATTCACTTTAGACTCCCAAAGACGCGGGATTACAGGCTGAGCCACCGAGCCAGGCTTTTCTTTTTTTTTTTTGAGTCAGAGTCTCACTCTGTCATGCAGCCTGGAGTGCAGTGGCATACTCACGGCTATCGCAGCCTCAACCTGCTGGGCTCAGGCAATCCTTCCACCTCAGCCTTCCAAGTAGCTGGAACTACAGGCATGTGCCACCATACCTGGCTAATTTTTTGATTTATTGTAGAGATGAGGTCTCACCAAGTTTCCCAGGCTGATCTCAAACCTGTGGGCTCAGGCAATCCTCTCACCTTGGCCTCCCAAAGTGCTGGGATTATAGGAGCGAGTCCACCATGCCCAGCCTTCTTTCCAGCTTTTTTTAGATATAGCAAGTTGAGTGCATAGAGAAACAGTCAACTATGCTTTTTAATAAAAATATAACTTTATTAAAATGACCTTGTTAAGTAAACTAAATTTTAATTGCTAATTATAATAGTTTAGAAATGCCCAAATGCAAATTGAGTACCTTCCTAACTAACTTTCAATGTTTTTCCCATATGCTATTGGACAGAGAAACCTTCACTTATATTTTGGCCCCTGTTTCCTGCACAGGGGGCCCATGAGGCATCATAGCAGCTGAAGGTAGGGATAGGGAACCATCAAGAGATTTAAGTTTCACTTAAATCTTAAATCACTTAAAGACCAACTTGTGTGTCTTGGTCTCTGAAAACTCGAATGCAGTCTTTCATTATAGTAATAGGTATTTGGAGTCCGGGACAAGGACATGAATAGTGCTACTATATTCTGCATGTGTTCAGGCCTCATTTAGAGTGTTACATTCGGTTATGAACATCACTTTTTTTTATTATAAAGAAATGGGGTACAATTCAGGGTTAGGTATACAAACATTGATTATGCAGGTACCCTTGTTGATGAGGTATGTCCCTCCCTCCCCTAGCAGTTTCCCTCAACTGCCAATCCCACCCCCGCTCCCCTGACAGTTTCCTATTACTGCCAAACGCTTTCTTATTTTTTTGAGTTGAAGTCTCACTCTGTCACCCAGACTGGAGTGCAGTGGCCGCTCCCGGCCACCACAGCCTCAACCTGCTGGGCTCCAGCGATCCTTCCGCCTCAGCCTTCCAAGTAGCGGGAACTACAGGCGCGTGCTACCACGCCTGGCTAATTTTTTTGATTTATTGTAGAGATGAGGTCTCACCAAGTTGCCCGGGTGGGTCTGGAACCCGTGAGCTCAGGCAATCCACTCACCTCAGCCTCCCAAGGCGCGGGATTACACGCTGAGCCACCGAGCCCAGCTCAAACGCTTTCTTATAGTATTATAATTGTTCAAGTTCCACTTCCGATGAACATCACATTTTGAAAAGACAAGAGAACTAGCCACAGTGGCTCATGTCTGTAATTCTAGCACTTTGTGAAGCCAAGACAGGAGAATTGCTTGTACCCAGGAGTTTGTGACCAGCCCAGGCAACATAGTGAGACCCTGTCTCAAAAAATTAGTGAAGAGTGGTGGCACGCACTGTAGCCCCAAGCTACTCAGAGACTGAGGTGGAAGAATCACCTGAGCCCAGGAAGTCAAGGCTGTGGTGAGCCGGGATCATGCCACTGCACTCCAGCCTGGGCAACAGAGTGTGACCCTGTCTCTAGGGAAGAAAAAAAATATATATATATAGATAGATAGTTGAACAAAAACACATTTAGAGAAAGACTAATAGGTTGCTGGGGGATCCAAAAAAGGTGGCATAAGAATGACTCAAGGAACTAAAATGTTATCTTTGTAAAGGGGAGGCTTAGAGAGTTTCTGAGAACTGTTTTCAAACATTTGAAGGGTTGTCATGTTGTAAGATGGATTAGACTTACTTGGTGCAGCTCCAAAGACCTGACTGGGCACCATGGTGGTTAGAAGTTAGTTTGAGACAGATTTCAGGCTCAGTAGAAAGAACTTTTCAACTAGAGATGATTACAAATTGACTGTAAGGCACTGAACTCCCTGTTATTGCAAGAATACTAGCTGACTCCACAACAAAAGGGAGTTCTTACCCGCGTGATCCCTGGCTCTCAAGGCATAGCTTCTGCCCAGCTATACTGTACCTAAAGTACACCAATGCTTTTTTTTTTAAGGGGCAACTTACTTCTGTCCCTGGTGACTTTCTCCACTTAGATTCTGAAGTTGATGAGAGAACTCAAGAAGCAGAAATGCAGGGCAGACTTTTCTTTGAATGGCCTTTTTCCAATTAGTAAAATGTTTCCCTGATGACTCTTTGACTTTCTTCTCCTACCTGATTCTCTTCATTTTGAATTCATTCCTTGGGAAAAAGTGTCTAGGCATTAAATTGTTTAAGATTTTACATTATCTACCTTACAAGTCCCCTGGTATATTTAGAACCTGACATTTTCCAAAGAGGTTGGAATTTTTTTCCCCCAAACATTTTAATGCAACTTAAACAGAACCATGTCTCCTTCATTCAGCAAACAGTTATTGCATGTTTGCATTTTAAACAGAAATAGAAATGTGTCCCATCACCCCAACAGGGGCTTTTTTCAGCATCCCACCTCCCAGACCCTGCTCCTTTCAGGCCTTGGATTAGAGTTAGAGGGAGGGTCATGGCTCAGGCAAGGGTGAGATTAGGACACTCCAAGATTCTGCAGTCCAATGGGTAGGAGCCCAGCATACCCTGCAGGGCCTAGAGCTGCTGCCATGAGCAGTTCTGCCAAGGGCCAGGCTAGGCCACCCTTCCAAGCTTCATAGCCAAGGAGGTGCCATCTGCTCCCTAGAATCCACAGACATTCCGTTTTCGTGGAAATCTGCCCCGCCCCTACCAGCCCCAGCACCTTGGTACAGCCCCAGCAGAATATAGAAGCAGAAGTTACCTGCCCCCCCCATCTCCAGCCTGGTTTTGCCTGACCTACTTCCCCAGGGAATGACTCCGTCAGTCATCCTTTCCTTTGCCCCATTCTCCACAGCACTCTGTTTTCTTTTATTTATTTATTTATTTTTTGGAGTCTTATTCTGTCACCCAGACTGGAGTGCAGTGGCCGCTCCCGGCCACCGCAGCCTCAACCTGCTGGGCTCCGGCAATCCTTCAGCCTCAGCCTTCCGAGTAGCCCGAATTACAGGCATGCGCTACCACGCCTGGCTGATTTTTAAAAATTTATTGTAGAGATGAGGTCTCGCTGCCCAGGCGGGTCTCGAACCCACGGGCTCAGGCAATCCACTAACCTCAGCCTCCCAAAGGCGCGGGATTACAGGCTGAGCCACCGAGCCCGGCTAGCACTCTGTTTTCAAGGTTCAGGGTGTGGTCTTCCCTGTGAAGTTTATCTCCTACTATCTACCACTTCCTCCTGGACACCCTCGTTCCCTGGACCCAGGGAAAGTACAATGCCTCTTGGCTGCTCTCTGGAGCCCCTGGTCTTTCATATCCAATTCCATCACATCCTCACCCTCATTCCCCGCTGCTCTCCTGGAAAAGAGCCACAGCAGCTTCAACACGGCCCTTGCTGCCTTTCTCCAACTTTCTCCAGCTGCCAAGTATACCCCTCCCTGACAGTTCTCTCCTTCCCTCTTGGGCAGATCTTGGGATGAACTTCAATTCGGAAGGCATGGTTAATGATGTCAGGAGTGTAGAGTTACTGGCGTTACAGTTGTAGTTGCCTTCTCTCTGGCTCACCCTCCGTCTGGCTTCCAGTTTAATGGTGCTGTCCATTCAGGCTGAGAAGTGAGGACAGACATGGAGGCTTGGCCATGTCTGGGGAGGTGGAGGCAGGTGTAGATTATAGTGCAGAGTCAACTGAGATGAGAGAGATGAAAGCTGTCTTCTTCAATGTTCTTGGGGTTGGAGTTCCTGCTCACAAGGCTGATGCAACCTCACCTGCCCTTACATAAGAATGGCAGTTATAGTGACTCCAAACTCTTCCTTTTTTGTTTGTTTTGTTTTAAGAGACAGGATCTCACTCTGTCACCCAGGCCGGTACCATCATGGCTCACTGCAACCTTGAATTCAGGGAGTCAAGTGATCCCCCAGCGGCCTCCCAAGTAGTTAGCACCTCAGGCGTGTATCACCATGCCTGGCCAATTTTAAAAATTTTTTGGTAAAGACAGGGTCTTGCTATGTTGCCCAGTCTGGTCTTGCACTCCTGGACTCAAATGATTCCTGCCTCAGCCTCCCAAAGTGCTGAAATTACAGGCATGAGCCACCATACTCAACCTATTCCTAGCTTTAATACTAGTTATTGCATACCTACTCTGGGCCAGTTACTGTGCTTAGCTTATTACATATATCATGTTATTCAATAAGACACTTGATACATTGTATGGAACTTCTTGTCCCCAGTAGAATGTCCTATAACTTTCTCACCAATATGGTGCATCCGTACTTTTAAAAACCCAGATCCATACTAATTTCCTTTTTTTTTTTTAAATTGGAGTCTGATTCTGTCACCCAGGCCGGAGTGTAGTTGCACACTCACGGCCACCTCAACCTGCTGGGCTCAGGTGATCCTTTCACTTCAGCCTTCCAAGTAGCTGGAACTACAGGAATGCACCACCACACCCAGCTAATTTTTTGATTTATTGTAGAGACAAGTCTCACCATGTTGCCCAGACTGCTTTCAAACCTGTGGGCTCAGACAGTCCTCTCACCTCTGTCTCCCAAAGTGCTGGGATTATAGGCATGAGCCATTGCGCCCAGCCCATACTAATTTCTTCCAAGAAGCCAACCAACTCCAGTTTTGCTTTGTCCCCTTGGGACTCGTGTACCTGGGCAGATATTTAGGTTTTTTTGTTTTTGTTTTTTTTGAGTTGGAGTCTCACTCTGTCGCCTAGACTGGAGTGCAGTGGCCGCTCCCAGCCACTGCAGCCTCGACCTGCTGGGCTCCGGTGATCCTTTTGCCTCAGCCTTCCAAGTAGCTGGAACTACAGGCACACGCTACCATGCCCGGCTAATTTTTGTTTTCTTGTAGAGATGAGGTCTCGCCAGGTTACCCAGGTGGGTCTCAAACCCGCGGGCTCAGGCAGTCCACTCACCTCAGCCTCCCAAAGCGTTGGGATTACAGGCTGAGCCATCAAGCCCAGCTATAGACATTTAGTTGATAGTAGTACATGGTGAGTGTCCCCATCATACCAAGTACCCCCAGGGGCCAGGATGAGGCCTCCTGCTTTCTCTAAGTATACCCTACCCTGCCCTATCCCCAGCAGCCACCTGAGGAGCCTGTGCTCTACACTGTCCGAATGGTAGAAAGACCTGAGCAGTAACAGCTCACACAGTCCTACACTGTGAGACTGATGTGGGTCTTGGAGGGCATCTCTTCATCCTGTGATGGTACCAGACCTAGAGAGAAGAAGAGACTTTCTCCAGGTGACACAGCGAGTAAATGGCAGAGCTGGGTCCAGAGTCCCAGCCATCTAGGTATTGGAAAAAAAATAAAAAACTGTAGAGAGAGAAAGACAAGTCTCAGAGTACCGAGGACTCATAGGGTCCCTTGGACGAGCCGGTCAATTTCCCCTCCTGCTGGCACAGCCCTCCCCTCCCCCTCCTGCCAAGCTGCCAAAGGGTCCATTTAGCTGGAGACAGCAGGCGGACGGGTGGGCGGGCCAGCTTCAAGAGCCCAGGGTAATTGCCTATAATGAAAGCTCCCACAGCCTTTGTTCCTGGGAGCGACTGTAAGTTGGGGTTGTGCTCAGAGGTCTGTGTGCACTTGGGAGCTGGTGCCCAGAGACCTCACCCTTCCTTCCTGCAGCCAAAACTGGCCCAGGATGAACTTGTTCTCCCAGGAGTCACTGTGACCCCAGCTGAGCCCACATCTCCTTTCTTGACCTACTAGCTGCCTGGACTGTGAGCATGCCCAAAGAGGCCTGTGTGCCCCCTGAGATACCAGGAATCAGTGATTCAGCTGATGCAACCTCACCTCTTTACATCATCAGAATGGCAGTAATAGTGACTGCAAATGCTTCCTTTTTTGTTTGTTTTGTTTTCTTCTAAGAGACAGGGTCTCACTCTATCACCCAGGCTGGAGTGCAGTGGTGCCATTATGGCTCACTGCAACCTTGAACTCAGGGAGTCAAGTGATCCCCCTGCCTCAGCCTCCCGAGTCATTAGGACCTCAGCTTCAGGGGGAGCTTGTCCCTTGTATATGTACATGGCCATACGTACATGCTTATCCTGAGGCTAAGGATCATGGCAGGCAAAGGAGTCAAGGCCTGGTGTTGCTAGAAGATCCCTTTGCCCTGTGGGCGATATGTGTTCCTGCAAATGGGTAAAGGATGCCAAAGGACAACTGGCATCAGGCATCAGGCATTCCAGTGCCCTTAGGGATCGTGCCCAGCTTTGCACAGAGGCCTGCTGCCTGCTGGAGTGCACGGATGTGCACAAATCCATCAGAGAGGGGCTGACCCAGGGGTACAGAGCACCAACAGAGAAGAACCAAGCTCTAGGGGGATTTTCTCAGTTCCACGAAGGGCTTTGAGATCAGGATAATTTCTGCCACAAGTGACCACTCCTTCTTGGTCCCACAGGTTGCAGATAGACCAGGAACCTGGCCCCCTCCCCCAGGGAAGCTGGGCCCTTGATGGCTACTCCAGGGTCCCCAACGAGACTGAGGAGAGTTTCTCCTGTACAGGTAAGTGGTCTGAGGGAAAGACTTCCTCTTGGGGTTAGGAGGCCATTGGGCTAGCATTTTCCTCACTGTCCACATGGAAGAAATAACCAGCTAAATAGGTCTATGTCTTGACAAAGAGAATTGAACTTTGAGTTTTTACCATGCTTGATTCAGCCCAGGGTTGGTTCATCAGATCCAGGAGCCCTTCTGGGGCAGAATAGGAGAGTGGCAAATGGGTGCCATGTTTAACTGATGCTTAGGTTGTGGGAGTGTGGCACACTGTATGTGTGAAGTCATGACAAAAAGGTAACAAGCTCCATCCACCTAACCAGGCCAGGTTCTTTTTTTTTTTGAGTTGGAGTCTCTCTCTGTCGCCCAGACTGGAGTGCAGTGGCCGCTCCCGGCCACCACAGCCTCGACCTGCTGGGCTCCAGTGATCCTTCCACCTCAGCCTTCCAAGTAGCTGGAATTACAGGCATGCGCTACCATGCCTGGCTGATTTTTTGATTTATTGTAGAGATGAGGTCTCGCTGCCCAGGTGGGTCTCGAACCCGCGGGCTCAGGCAATCCACTTACCTCAGCCTCCCAAAGGCACGGGATTACAGGCTGAGCCACCGAGCCCGGCCAGGCCAGTTTCTGAGTGATACCTAGTTTCAAAATGAAGGTGCTGGGACCAGGGAGGCAGTCCAGAGCCATCTGGCTAGCTGCCCCAAAACTACTTTCTCTCCCAGAACTACTTTTAACAGGCCACTCCCACACCTGCCCCCTTTCCTGTCACCCGTAGTCACAACATAGCACGTGGGCCTCCACAACATGAGATTCACCAAGAAGATCCCTAAAACTCTAATACAGTGATATTCTTTAAGGGCAGAGACACTGCCCATCCCGGGTACATCCTCAGGTGCTCAGTATCTCTGAATGAATGAATAGTGGGTGGATAAGTGAATGTTTTGGATATGCTAAGTAGTCAGTCCCTAAGTGGGTCAGATTCTAAACTCTCAGCAGCAATTAGGGACATGTGTTGATTTTCTTGCAACAAAAAAAAAGTACCTAGAGGAGGATGACTGTGAGTCCAACCAGAGGTACATGAGATTGCACACTGCAGGAAACCAGCTTTATCTTTTAGTTTCCCAGATAAAGGAAAACTTGCCCCTAGAAAGTAATGAGCCTGCTTTTCACAAACCTGAGATTGTCCAGAAGGTTGGTCTTTTTTTTTTTTGAGTTGGAGTCTCAGTCTGTTGCCCAGACTGGAGTGCAGTGGCCGCTCCCAGCCACCGCAGCCTCGACCTGCTGGACACCGGCGATCCTTCCGCCTCAACCTTCTGAGTAGCTGGAATTACAGGCATGCACTACCATGCCCGGTTGATTTTTTGATTTATTGTAGAGATGAGGTCTTGCCAAGTTGCCCCGGTGGGTCTCGAACCTGCGGGCTCAGGCAATCTACTCATCTCAGCCTCCCAAAGCACGGGATTACAGGCTGAACCACCGATCCTGGCTAAGAAGGTTGGTCTTACAGCTTCGTTTTAGTGCCCTACTCCAGGGGGCTCAACTGGGGCTTAGAACATAGCCTGACCCTGAGATCACGTGACATGGTGGTGTGCCACTCCTGCCTTCTCTGTCCCATGCTGGGCAGGTGATCAGATATCCCTCTTGGCCTCAAGGTTGGGGCTCTTATGAGCCATCTCTGGGTCTTGTCTATGGGAGTGAGCTTGGAAGCATTGTGACCCTAAGAGCAGAACAGCAATACTCACTCGTCCATGGCAAGCTTTGTGGAGGAAGGTTGTGGGATAGGGACTGGCCATTTAAAAAGTAAGCCACCTCCTTCCACAATAAGTATACACACAGGGGAACCAGGGCATGGCAGGGGACAAAAGGAAACCAAATTTCCCTGGCACTGAAAAGCCATCAGAATTAGAATGTGGTAACCGGGAAACTATGTGGAGCTCTATTTTTACATTTGCAGTTTAGTTAGTGTAATGGCTTCCTCATGTGTATGTCACATTGTTAGAGCCTAATGATCTCCATCCACCTAAACAGGCACTCGTTCATGATTATTATCCGATGAGTTGGTGAGAGGACTTTTACTTTTAATGTCTGCAGCACACTGGTGTTAGGAATCCCCCAGGCATGTCAGCTAGACCACCGACTGGCTGGATCTGAAAATGACTGATAGATCACAGGTTGGATTGCTCTGTCAGGCAGAGTGCAGTGAACCTTTAGAGGTGGGCTTTGCCAGAAAAGTGAGAAACACGGCTTTCTCTAAGGCTCCTGGGGAAGGGGAGCAGGGTTCACAGCACTGCCTCTGCTCTGACACCAGTTGTCATGGTGACCCATCTTTGCTGAGGATACACCGAACTCTTTGATGGGTTGGATGGGGAGAGAGATTTGGGATTTGTCTGCTTTGTGGGGGAGCCTGTACTCCTCTGAGCTTGAAGAAGACAGAGAGTAGAAGAAGAGAGACAGCTGAAGGGTTTCATTTTATGCCTTGCGCACTCACCCTCAAACTCAGGTCACAACTTGACTCATTCATTCATGTACTCTTTCATTCAATCAACACACCATCCATGAGTGTTTGCCTTGTGCGGAACACTGTATTTGACACTGGGGTAAAAGATGACTAAGACTTTGACCTGCCTTAGGGTTTCACTCCAGTGAGACTTATCTATAGAATTTTTTGGGATCCCAGAAGCCCTGCCCAGTAACCATGGGGTTGACGAGATAGTCAGTCAGTCCTGCCTGTTCCACTAGGCGCCGCAGCATGAGGAGGTTCCCTAGGCTTATTATTCCTCCTTGTAGGAGAATTGAGTGCCTTGGAGAGTACCATACCATTTATTTATATCATTCACAGAATCCAGTTATTTCAGTTATTGATCATGTTATTTCCATATCAATTTGTAGATGACAGGGTGCAGGGAACTGTTTTGAAGTTCAAATATCTTCTCCTCCTGTCCATGAACTCATCATTTCCCTCATCACCTAGCACAGTACCCGGTGGTCAGTGTTCGGTGGGTGAGTGAATTGAGAGTGTGAGGAACCCAAAGAAAGTGGTTGCTGAGTTCATTTATCTTTCGTTAGCTTGTTTCTTGCTCTACCAGTCAAGGAGGAGTAAGCAGTCTTTCTCTGCTCTCTTCCCAATATGGTCCTCTCTAGCCTCCAGGCTCACTGAATCAGTGAGGGTTTGGGGAAGGCTGCAGAGTCCTTGAGGGGAGCAGAAGGCTGGGAAATTTCTCAGCCCTGTACCACTGTCTTACTCTGCCTGGACTCTGGGAATAGAGTCCAAACAAGGCTTTATAATGTTATGTAGCAGGAAGAGAATTTCTTATGATGACTTGCCACCGTGCTGGGGATGGCCTTCATATGTCCCAAAGGCTGTCTACAGGCAACTGCTCCTTCTGCTTCTACCGTGGGGCAAGCGTGGAAATGCCCAACCCGTGAGTGTTTGTACATGTACCCTGACCCTCCCCTGGACCTCCTGGCTTTGCTGGTGAAAGCCCAGCACTGGCCCCATCTGCTCACACTCCCTTTGGTTGCTGTTAGTGGCCGGCCATGCACAGACCACCATCAGATCTTAATTTGGACAGCCAAGGGAAACCAGGGCTGACATTACTGGGGCCCACGTGTGTGAAGCTGTGTGCAAGAGGACTGGGAAGGGTCGTCCCGAGGTTTACACAGATTCAGTAATTACTTCCACTTTGTGGCATGTTTGAATGAGCACTAAGTGGACACATAATGAAAGGATCTTTTCTCATCATAACATTTGTCACCCGAGAACAAGCCAGAGCCTCCTCCCTGCCTCCTCCTCATACAAGGACTGATATATATATAGAACGGGAGGGGTAGTGTGGAGTTTGGCCTTGCACTGGGGTTGTTTTGCTTTTCTTTCTCTTTTGTCTCCCTCCATGAGCTGACTCCATCTTTAAGCTTAAGTTTTTCATGTCTTTTGGATTTGAAATTAAGCAGGAATAGAGCCTTCATTCTAAGAAAACTTGCAAAGCTGGTGTGCCCAGGGCAGAAGTGAGGGATGGTAACCATGCTCTCTGGGAGAGGAGTTTGTTCTGTGCTTCTAGGTGGACTCCAGTTCAGTGGTACAATCCCTCCATGCTCTTCTGGAAGTTTCAGGCCAAATTCAAGTACCACAAGACTATAATAACTTGGCATCAAAGAATATAAGAAGTTGAAGCTCTAAGAACTATATAGATCACCCAAATTTGGCCTCATTTTCAATAGGGGGAGATAAAACTCAAAGAGAAGTGACTTGCCCAAGACTGTATGGTGAGTTAGGTGAACTGAAGCCAGGACTACTGCCTTCTGATTCCACAAACATTAAAATAACAAAATGGTAAACATGACTACCATTTACTGAACACCTACTATGTGCAGGGCACAGTGTTAGGTGCTTTACATAAAATCTTCATGAATACCTGTATAACCCTTTGAAGGTGGTATGATTACTCTGTGTTATAGATGAGCAAACTTAGGCTCAGAAAAATTACATAAAATCTGTCTGAGGCCATACAGCTAAGAGGCTGTATCAGTATCCAAACCCAGGCTTAGCAAAAGGTTACACCCTTCTCCTCTTTCTCCCTGCCTTCCCAACTGCTGCTGGTACTCAATTGCACATTGTCCAAGCTCAGCTCAGTCTTCCTTAACCTCTGCCAAGCAGTGGGGATGGAAACAGTGCCAATGAGCCATAGTCACTGCTGACATCTCCCTCAACTCAAGCAAGCCCCAGGATGTCCCTGGCATCCCTGTCACTCTGAACCTGTGTCATTTCATGCTGAGTTCACACCACTGTGTTCCCTGCCCTCTGGGGACTCTGGGACAAGATAAGCCTTATGTCTCTGCCATCCGTCGAGAGAAGACATGCAGACAATTGACTAGAAAACAGAACACATTCAGGGGAAGATGATATTAGTCTAGTTCTCAGGTCTCAAGAGGGTCAGTACCACTGTGGAGCAGAGGAGACCTGAGAGCGCAAGGGAGACCCTGTTTGGGTAAACAGAGCAACCATTTGGGGCCAGGTAGGCCTCAGGAGCTGGGATGAGAGTTCATAATAATACTAATAGCAGCAGCTGACACTTACTGTGGCTTACTGTGAACCAGTCATTGTCACAGCACCTTTAATTCTTCTAACACCTCTGTGAGGGTTGGGACCTAACTCACTAATTTGCATCACAGCTTCCTCATTTGCTAGCTATACAGCCTTGGGCAAGTTGTTTAATATCCCTGTGCCTCTGTTTCCTTGGTTGTAACTGGGGCCCATAACAGTACTTTCCTTGTAGGGTTTTGTGAGGATTAAATGTATCGACATAGGCAAAGAGCTTAGAAGAATGATACACAGTAACTGCTCAATACGTGTTCAGTATTATTGTTATTGAGGAAAGCGCTATTATCATGCCCACTTCACAGATGAGGAAACTGTGGTACAGAGAGGTTAAGTGACTTGCCCAAGGTGGGTCTAGCCAGAATTTCAATACAGCCAGTCTCCAGAGGTTATGCTCTTAGCCATACATACCATGACCTCAACTGAGGGAAAGATGTTTCAAGTCTGGGAGTCTTCCCAGGGAGGCAGGAGAGGCAGTGGGATAAGAGCCTGGCTCTAAGAGAAGCCGGGAAGGAAGAGGCCAGAGAAGTGAGGTCATCTGAGGTACCTGTTGGAGGGGTGTGAACTAGAAACTGCAGGGATCTGGATCCTATTTCACTGAAAGAGGGGAGAAGGAGGGAGGAGACTGAGTGACTTCTCTTCAAGACAGTGTTTGGCTGGGGATGGGTTTTATCTCTCTAGGCAATGAGCTTGACCCAGTAGGGGACATTTTACTGGAGGATCAAGAATAGTGGAGACAGTCCAGAGTCCCCCTTCCCCAGGGTTACCCTGGGCCCCGGCCTTCCCTCTCTTCAGAGTGCGTGAATGGTTCTACATGGTTTTGCAACTGTGCGTGCTCAAAATATAATACGTAGGGTTGGCAAGGCCTAGCTTCCCTGTTTCCGGCTGCACTATAAGAAAACCAGGACCTTTGCATTGCCCAACTCCAGAGCGAATTCATGTCCACTTGTCAAATTTGTATAAAGCCCTTACTATATGCCAAGTACTATTCTAAAAGCTTGGAATACATTCATGGACAAAACAGGGAAAGACCTCTGCCTGTTTTGGGCTTATGGTGCCATCTGGAGCTATGCAGTATAGAGCCTATGCAGCTGTACATAATCTACATGGTGGCACAGGAGAATCCCCAACCCTCGATTATGCCTCCCACCCCAAAAAGCACAAGCAGAGCTCCAGTCTCATGATATTTCCCAGGCCTATAAGCAACAGCAGTCTGTGGGCTACCTGCTTCACCCTGAATCCCTGAATTGAAGAGGAAGGTGCTACACTTCCCCCTGTGGTTTTCCTAGAGAAATACCCCCCTACCCAATACCTGTCTATCATGGACTTGGCTTCCTCCTGGCAGGTTTTTGGAGATTCAACTTTCCAACCTAGGATATCCCAACCCCTTGTCTAGTTATCTGTATGCCATGAGCTATGGGAAGGTCCTGTGGGCAAAGATACTTAGGAAGAGGCAGGCTGGTTGGTAGGAATCTCTCCAGATTCCTACTCCCACCCCATACAATTTCAGAGGTTGTTATCCAGGGAGCTATGGAACAGTTCGAAATTCCAGCCAAGAAATGGAAACGGGGCCAATGAGCCATAGTCCCTGCTGGCATCTCCCCCAACCCAAGTAGGAGACAGCCGTGGGGTGGAATTTTTGCTAAACTTCTGCCACTGCTGCTCCCTACTTCTCTGGCCAATCCAGGTAAGCCTTGCCTCAATTGAGGCCCTGAAGACCTGGCTTCTCAGGTCTTTGTCCCATGCCAGGGCAAAGGTTGGCTAGCCCTCTGAACTAAGATCTCCCTGAGAAGGCTCAGAGTAGACAGAGAGGCTGCAGGGGCTTTATCTCCAGGAGTGCTGCCTCGATCAGTAGCCGTCAAGGCTGAAGTCTCTCCCTCCAGCACCACTGAATGGGCAGAAAGTGGAACACATCATTCCACCCCCCAACAAACCTTAGTAAGAGGGTGAGGGCCCCCTGCTGAGAGATCCCCCCCCCCAGGGATGCCTTGCAGGCTTACACAGAAGAAGCTCTGGGGAGAGGCAGTTGAAGAGACTGAGGTGACACAGACACAACAGCCAGAGAGATTAAGTACTGAGAATTACCCCCAGTCACAACAGTCATCCTTTAAAATGGCAGAAGGAATAAAAAACCTGCCTTCCTATGTGTGGCTCCCAGGCGGTGGGAGTCCCCAGCTTCTGAGGGAGCTGAAGATAATTAAAGGTCAGGACCCAGGAAGGGTCAGTGAGCCAGGGGTCATCATCTACCCCAGAGCACATGGAACCCAGGGAGGAGGGGAGAGCAGAGAAACACATAGTTGTCCCTTCTCTCAAGAAAATCATTCTACCTCCACAGAGGGCAGGAGGAGGAAATGAGAGTGTTCTGTGGTGTGAACGATTGAGGTCAGATAAATAAGAGAACGTCCTGGCAGGAGGAGAGCTCAGCCCCAGTGGAAATGGAGGGAGAGTGGTCCAAGGTTCACATAAACACTGGCACAGTCCAGGGCAGGAGCTGACCCCATGAGCTCCCTGCATCATTCCTGCCAAAGAATCAGACCCTGTGAAAGACGAAGTGCTCATCGTGGCATGGAAACTCCTACCCATCACATCAATGAATATTCTTAACATTTGCTGAGCAATTTTTGTAAGTCGAATAATTGCTAGTGATTGTTCTATTAAAATTCATTGAAATATGAATCCATGGCATTCCTCTGTTAAGTTGAATGCCTCATTTAAAAACCTAACCAAAAACTCTAATAAAGCACAGAGGTGCCAACTGAGAAAATGAGTGCAGCCACAAAATGGAAATGCCTTTCTCTTCGGGGGAAGAAGAAGGCTAGGTTTCTTTAAACCAGCTGTTCCAGATGGTTCAGGTGAAGGTGGGTCCGAGTTGCTTCTTACTCCTGAATTTTTCTTTATCTTTTTGGAGTCAGGAACCTCTTT